ATTTATATAGATCAATAGATCGTTTGTGTTACTATTCATTCGATTGATTTTCTTTTTGAAAGAAAAAAATTGATATCTGTTTTTAACATTGTCAAACAATATGTAGCCAATATCAAATAATGAAATGACTATGGCTATTAATGATGATGATGGTGATTACTTTTGGCCTTTTTTTTCATTTTCATCATTTCATTTCTTGATTTTCAATTTTTTGTTGAATTTTCTTTTCCTTTTGGAAATTATAATTTATCCGATTCATTTTTCTTTTCTGTTGCTAATTCTTGTTTCCTATAATTATTTTTCATTTCCGGAATAAATTAACCAATATTTACAAATTTGACAAATAATTATTCTAGACTAGAACTTTTATAATTATATAATCATAATCATTATATCCATTCCATTATTATTGTTCATTGATGATAATAATGGTAATGATAATGATTGAATCCTTTGGAAAACAAAGAATTAATAATGATGATCAGACTTGGTGATTTTGTTTCATTGAATATTACATTGTTCATTTCAAATCGAAAAATAAACGATTATGATGATTATGATGATGATTACTATTGTATTTGTATGTAATCGTGATGAAAATGACCGTCTATATATATGGATGTTTTCATAACATCCTTTTTTATTGCTCTCTCTCTCTCTCTCTCTCTCTCTCTCTCTCTCTCTCTCTCTCTCTCTTTTTTAACAAATTGCTCTATCTCTCAAATCTCTCTCACACACACACGATATTCTCATGGTAGAAAAAAAAAATGTTAATGTTGATGGCAATAGCAATGATCATGATGATGATGATGATGATGATGATGATGATTGTCAGGCTAGACTTTAACTAAACATAGGCGTTGATTTTTTTCCAAAAAAAGAATCTTTTCATCTGTACATTCAAGTAAAAAAAATGGTTGAAGAACATCAACAAAAAAACCATGTTCATGCTGAACAGCAACAAAAAAAAATAAAATAAAATAAAATAAAAACAACAATTCAAGAGAAAGTAAAGAAATGGGTTTCTCATTGCAAAATTAGCACAAAACGGTGTATAGAGTGAGAAAATAAAAACGACAAAAAGAACGGATATCAAGTGAAACAACATGGTTTGAAAATGATGAGATCCGTTTTTTCTGTCTATTTCTCTTTCTTCTTGTTCTATCGTTTTTTTTCCTTCAATTCTTTCGTTTTGGTTCTGTTATATTGTTCGACCGATAGAATAACAATGAAAACAAAACAAAAAATAAGCGAAAAGAATGAATGAATTGTTGTTTATGTTGTATATTTTCTATTCTTGTTGAATGATAATATGATGTGTTGTCTATGTGTGTGTATGTGTGCATGTATTAACATGCAACGAATATGTTTACTGCCTTGGTCTTTATTATCATATATATATGTTTGAATGAATTCCTGTCTTTGTCATCTGATGTGATGATTTTGATGATGATGATGATGATCATAATAATAATAATAATAATGACAATGATGAGAGAGAGAGAGAGAGAGAGAATCTTCACACGAATATGCATGAATTGATCTAAAATCTTCATTTTGTGCAAGTTTTTTTTTCACTACTACCGTTATCTACATTTGTTTTCATTTCTGGTTGATTGCCTTCCCAGGCACTAAAATCAAATGAAAAATCATCGAATTGTAAACTTTGTACCAAGATTCCTGTATTATTAGTTTCAAATTGATTAAACTCATTAAAATCATTATAATGATCATGTTGTCCAAAAAAAAATAAATAAATAAATAAATCCAAGGCCGATTCTCATTTTTTTTTGCATCACAAGTTTCCAATATTTGTGTACGTGTGTGTATGAAATTTATTTTTCCATTGAAATTAAAACTCTTGGCATGAAAAAAATGTGGAAAATATTCTCATATATTAACAAGTTTATTGTATTTTTTTTTCGTTGGCAGGAAACGAACGCTTTTCCTCTTTTATTTCTTAAGCCTAACATCAACATCAACAACAACAACAATTATAATAATAATAATAATAATTCTGTCTCCAAGACCCAAGGGAAGTAAATTTCTGAATAAGAATTGTTATAAATCTCGGAATTTTTTTTCAGCTTATATTCACCGAAAAAGAATGAATGTATGAAAAAATTAAAATTGACATATGATGTGTCAATGTGTGTGTGTGTGTGTGTGTGTGGAATTTTTTTTTTGTTCCACTTTGGTTCTGGAATATGATTTGCGCATCAACAATTTTTTTCTTCAGCCATTGTTGGGTTCAGATTTGTACTTTGTTCGAAATTTTACAATATTTTTTTTTTTGCTTGATTGAAGCAAGTTTTAAAATTTTCAAAGAAAAAAAATTATCACATGTGCGAGTACATTTTGTATAAAATATTGACCAATTGAATTCTTTTGTCCGTTCGGTCATGAATTATTATACACATACGGTTTTACTAATACTTAGCATGTGTATGGATGTTGTTTTGATGGGTGTTCAATGTCCAGCGTTTTGGACATTTAAAGCAATCATCCTCATTTTTTTTGTGCTTTCACTTTACATTACATGTGCTTTGTGAACTACAAAAAATTATTCTATAGCCACATTAAGAATGTGTTAGCATGTATATGCCATTGAAATACGCATGTGAAATTGATCTTTATCATTGCAATAATAATATATTGTGTGTCTAGGATATATTCTTGCCTTACAGGACTCATTCATTCACAATTACATAACCCCTTTGAATAAACGCTTACACATAATGTGACACTTTCGATGCTTTACTGTTCCGTTAAGTTCACTATTTTTTTTTTTTGATTCTTGTTTCTGGTCGATGAAAAAATTTATTCTGTTGGTTTTAAAGCTACAGAAAAATGACTGAAGTTATATCCATTGAATTTGATTTAAAATTCGTTTGCCTCTTATTTTTATTCTTCTCTTATTCATGATTTGGCAAAATGGAGAACGAACCAAAGATTTTTCACATGTTTTATGTGAGAAATAACTTTATTCTGCTCCACATTCGAGCAAAAAAAAAAGCAAAAGAGTCACAAATATTTTTCTTGTACTTTTCATTCTATATCCATTAAAACTGTGTACATGTGATGTGATGTGTATACGTTGTGCATTGTTCAGCCGGATTCCCAAATGAATCATGACCAACAAAAACGAAATGAGAAAGAACAAACAAGAACCGTTAGTTAGTACTTTTTTTCTGTGTATTCACATTCTACATTCTTGGATGGTAATACCACTAGAATACCACTATTTGAAAAAAATATCAAAAATGGAATGGATCTACCCAAAAAAAATATTGGATTATATATTCGTGTAGATATATAAAAACTAGGGAAAAAATAGATAGAATTTTCTATCAAACGAGAAGGGTAAAATATAGCCTTTTTGTCTGTGGGTATCATGATTGAACTATTGTATAATGTTAAGGTTATATTATTTTCGTTACAGTCATTTGCAATTCTTGTTGTTAGTATTGGTTGAATTTCATGTTGTTATTGTTGTTGATTGTGATAGTGGTGATGATGGTGGCCGTGGTGGTTGTGGTAATGATAGTGGTCCAGAATTTATAACAACCAACAAATAGCGCCGACGCGGCCACCACGACGGTTAAAAGGATCCATGATCCACTAACCAGAGAAAAAAAAATACCGAATATGTGTGTGTGTGTTGTGTTTACACATTTTTTTTCATTTATTATAAACCATACTCTGATGTTTTTTTTTGCATCGAATGAAATTTTGTGTGTATGTATGTGTGTGGGTGTGTAAGAATATAGTCGATTTTTTTACCATTATTATTATTCATAGTGGGCAAAATAATTTTGAAATTTATTTTGAAAGCAAATTCTTCTGAAAAAAATGATCATAATAATCACGTTCATCATAGTATCTTTATTCATGGATCGGTGAAAAAAAACATCTGATCACGATCGACGACAACAAATCATTTATTAAAACAAGGTTTTTTTTGGTTTGGTTAACTTTTTTTTCTCATATTTCTTCCATAAATGTTCTTTTTCATCAATTGATTATCATCATAATCAACATCGGTCTTTCAACTTTTTTTGTCATTAGTGTTCGATGTTGTTTTAATTTTTTTGTTTTCTCATCTTGTTCATATTAATTCCTCCATGAATAATGATTATTCTATAGGCCATATATATATTGATTCTTGAGTGAAATTTAATGGCCAGTCTTTGATGCAATGTATAATGTTTGGTGATTTCCGGACATAATGACTGGATGTTGTTAGTGTATGATGCATATTTGAATACCGAAAACATAAGAGTCTGTAAGTTTTCGTTAATCTTTTTTGATTTGAGAATTGTACCAATCTCTATTGACATAACGCAAACAAAATTCTTGGTCAAATGTAAATGCAAACACAGGACATGCATAATGTTTACGTTTCGGTTCAGAATAGTATTCAACAACATTGAATTTAGCAAATAAGCGATCAAGAATAAGATAAAATAGTTTTGATTGTTGTACAAACATCAATATTCTCTATCATCATCATCATCATCATCATCATCATCACTATTGTCAGTAGTCAAGAGTGATAATAATCTAGTTTTAATACATATTTGATTGGTGACTTTTTTTCTGGCATTAAATTGTGATATATCGCCGATACATGACCATAAATATAAAAAAAATTAAAATCATCCAAAATGAAAACATTTAATCGGATTTAATTCGTAAGTTAATGAGCGTATTTATGTGTAAATGTTTTTGCTAGTGTAAGCTCAAATTGATTGCACACCCACACGCATAATTTGTCAGCCAAAAAAAAAAAAAAAAATTCAAAACTTTTCATCATTATGATCATCATCATCATCATCATCGATACAAATCAAATTCCATCATTTTCAATATTGTCCTTTTCTTTCAATCATTCATTATCATCATGATCGAATTTTTTTCGCTTCCATTGCTTTCATCATCATTATAATCCAATTTGATTTTTTTTTTTTTTGATAAAACAAAAATGCCTCGCCCAATAATTGAATTTTTTTTTTGTAAATATTAGTCTCGTACTTGGAAAGTAATGAAGCAAACAAACAAACAAACAAGAAAAACAAAAAGTATTTGTTAAAAACCTGTGATAAAATAGATTCATGATCAAATTTTTTCGTTTGATCATAATCATCAATGAGACCATCAGATAATAAATTCATACAAGAATGATGATGATAATAATAATAATAATGACATGATACATTTGTTGACTTAACCAATGTCTTTCATCATCATGATCACCATTATCATCATCATCATTCATTTTAAATTTGTAAGTAATGAATTTTATTTCTTTCCAATCATTATTATTTGCGATATAATTCATTTTGTCTGTATAACTTTTTAAAATTGTACTTGTACATTTTTGTATTTGGTATATGATTTATTGATTGATATTGAAGAATCTTATTCTATTCTATTCATTTAATTCTTGTCAGCAATGGTGAGTAATATTCTGGATAATTTTTTTTCTCGTTTATTTTAGTGATCCTCATTATTATTATTCTTGTACAATTTTTTTTGTTTTGTTTTGTTGTTTTGTTTGTTTTTCAGTCTTGATCATCCATTTATATTTATTACTTTCTCACTACAATTACTAGTTGGATTATTATTAGGTGATGATGATATCTTTTGGTAGTTTTTTCTTATGATATTCCTTAATATTGAGAAGATATGTTGTTGTTGTTGTTTGTAGTTGTTGTTATTCTTAATAATAAAGAATAACTGTAAAAGTTTTTTTTTCTACACATGAAAAAAAATGAACGTACACGAAACACACACACACAAAAAAAACAAAACAAAAAACATGATCAATGTCGAAGCTTTGAAAAAAAGCTTGTCCACAATGTGTCCAGTAAATAATTGGCTATAAAAACAAAATAAGAAACCAGAAAAAAATAATGAAAACATGTAACAATGAATTGAATCATTGAGAAAGGAAATGAAAAAAACACTAACGAATAAATAGTGTGTTACCAGCTAAAACCACTAACCTTTATTAACATTAAACATCAATTTTATATCTTATATATCACACATCATAGTGGTATTTTTTTTTCTCATATACAATGTGCTTGTATATTGTAGTGATAATAATTATTTTATACTTGCCCCATCGAACATAAAATCTTTTTCTTTTCAGATGCAATCAACCATCATCAGCATCATTAGTATCCTGATATAGTGTGTGTGTGTTTTGCTTTTATTTTTTGGTTGGCTATAATTTCAATGTCCACCATGTTTTATGCAATATCGATAATGATTATAATGATGATAATAATTACACCCCCATCATCATCGATACATTTTTTTTCTCGTACCCGATTTAGATTTCAAATAATAATGAGAGTTTTATTTTTTTGTCCACTATGATTATATATCCCAGTTGACACAATTGTATTTAGGGGAACCAATTATTTGGAATTTTCCGGTGAAACTATTTATTTTTATTATTATTATTATTACAATACTTCGATTATCACACCACCATGGCTATTATCATTGTGATAACACTCTCAAAAAATTGGTAATCATTTATGGCCATGAATTTATTGATAGTCCATAAAAATATATGAATAATTACAATGAACCAATTATCCACATTGGTTGTCATCATTATGTTCATGTTATTTTTTCAGTTTTGATTGCGCATATACTTTTATCATCAGAATACTATAACTAAATGGTCTTGGTTTCTTTTTATTTATCTCACACACACTTACCCACACAAACTCAAATATTTTGTCTATTGGTCAGTCAGTTTTTTTTGTTATTCAAAAAAAAAAAAAAAAAATTCACTTGATTTGGACGCAGCTGGACCATTCAGTGTTTTTCGATTTTTTTTTTATATATTTCGGCTTTTTTTTCTCGTATCCAAGGGCAATTGTATGGCAATCATTATTGTTGACAAAAACAAAAATCGAATCGTTTTATTTTCCATCATTATAGAATCATTGACAATATTTTTTGTACTGTATACAAACATAAAAAATTTCAACTGTTTTAATAATGTAATTAATCTTCATTGGAGAGCTATGAAAGTATTACAAGTGAGAATGAGAGTCACTAGTCAGTAAAAACTACCGGCAATAAATGTATTGATATGAAAATGTAAAAATTTCCATTAAAAACTGAATATCATCCACCTACTTTTTACCATCTAATGGGCGTGTATTAGAATATCAATAAAAAAATGGTCGAATATATATAAATGATACTCTTATATGTAAAACCAGCCGAAAAAAGAAATTGATCAATTTTAATGTCTTCTATGTGCTTCTTTTTTTTACATATATCTAACACAACAACAAAAAATAACTTGAATAATCGATGAATTTCTTCCGTTTTATTTCGTATAAATCTTGAACGAAAAAAAAAAAAATTTCTTATCTCCAAGATTAAATTGAAATCAGTTTTTTTTCTGTTGTGTCTCTCTACCATAGAGAAGAGAAAAAAAAATACATTGATCAATCTCTATAGATATAAATGATGCCAATGTTCAAATATTCGATCGTGAAATTCCAAATGATCACTGGTTATAAAGGCATAGCCATTTCTCTTTGTTGTTGGCGTTTTTTTTTCTTGGCGTTCACTTGGTTGACTGGTTATCAATTTCCACACATTGTGAAACGAATGGAAAAAATGCATTTTCATTTCATTATTTTATCATAGTTTTGCTGTTGTTGTTGTTGTTGTTGATTGAGCAATTCTTGGAGAATATTATTTCGATGAACAAAATTTTTCCAATGAATAATTGATCGATCCATACATAGTTGCATAATTTTGTTTATGATATTTACGATTATTCAACCAGAACTAGAGATATTGTCTGTGTATGTGTGAACATTTGTCTGCCTCTGTGTTAAATTTGTCATAATTTAGTCTATTTATTCTAATTACTTTTTTTTACATTTTTTATGTTTATTTTTTTTAATATATACATGTTTTCTCTGTCGTCATCGTGTTGTTCATGTTGTTGAAACTTGTTGTTATTGTTGTATGAATAAAATTTGACGACGAATTCATGATAGTTATCAATAATTAATCGATTTGGATTCGAGTTCGATTCGGTTTTTTCTCCTGTTCATCTGATTATTAAGGAAATTCTACAAAACACAAAAAGCTCAATTGCAGGATATGATGATGAGGCGGAGAAATGTTAGGTGAGGCATTGATTGTCGTCACTGCCGTTGAAGACACAACGCCATCATCATCATCATCATCATTATTGTTCATTCAGTTTAACTAGATGGTGATGATCAAATCAAATCGAGTCAATTGTCGAGACACGCAATCATTTTTTCGTTCGTTCGTTCGTTCGTTCGTTTGGTTCTCGCCTATCGATTCCAAACGTGTATGATCAAACCATCTTTTTCATCCACCCCCGTTATTCATATAACCCTCTGTATACACGTCAATGTTATCATCATTTTGTCATCCATGAGTTCATTGGGAAATAACAACAAAAAAAATGCTGACGTAGTATATTGTTATTATTGTATTATATTAAAGTATATTCAAAAAGAAAAAAATCATTTAAAATTCATTTCTGATTCTATACACGAGATGGCGGGTAAAATATAGCTTAAAAATACGCATCATTCTTTCCAAAGAAATGATCATAAGTGTTGTTGGATGGGTGAAAAAAAAAATTCTCAAGTCGTCAAAATCTCAATTTCTACTATTAAAGATTCAAAGTGAACAAACAATGGTGAGTGAAAGAGAGCGAGAGAGGAAGAATTTTGTTTGATGATCGATAAATTTTTTTGATATAAAATTAACTCATCTAAAAATCGCTGAGTTTATAGAGAGTGTATGAGAGATGATGATGATGATGATGTCGAGACGATATGATTTTGTGAGCTATATGAAATTTTCTTATTTTTCTGCTTTCTCCATCAATGAAAATTGTTCAACTTGCAACTTAACTCTTATTGTTTTTTCAACGATATTCTCGTTATACAATTATTGATTTATTGATAAGTTTTGATTGATTGAGGATTAGATTTTTTTTTCTTGTGCCTCCCACACCCTAATGTGGCTAAAATTTTGTGATCGTTTTGTGTTTGCTTGTCGACTTTTTCCTCTCTCTAATTTTTTTTCCTTGCCACTCAGTTAGCCATTATATCACATACAGGCAGTGGCAGCCATCAAGGCAAAAAAAAAGAAGGAAAAATTCAAGAATCGCAAGTTATCTTATCCAGGAAGAAAAAGCAGAAACTTTATTTTTTGTTTTTACCCAAAAAAAAAAATTATGAATTGCATGACCTATAAAATTATAGATAGATCTAATAACAAAAAGACCATTTTTTAGATTCTAATTCGATTTTCATGGTTTTTTTCCATTTTTCTTTCCAATCGATCCATGAATTTAATAGGCTGACTTATTTTTTCATCGACAGAAATCAATGTTATTTTCATTCATATAGTTATACTCTTCAACTCAATCAATTTATCAATATTGCGATGTAATTTCACAGACAAATCATTACAAACAGACAACAATAACAAAAACGGCGTGATGAATGTTTCGGGAAATGCCGATAGTGGAAAATATTTATCCGATACATCACAAGGTGGTAGCGGTGATGGTGATGGAAATATTAATGATCAAAGGGAAGTAATCACTCATCACCTATATGCATCATCATCATTATTATCATCGCCCAAGAGACTATCGCCTCGATCCTCTAGCCATTCAGTATCATTCAGTATTAATGAATCGGTTGCTGATGTTGCTAAGAATAATAAGAATAGGTTGTCAATGCCATCATCATCATCATCAACAACAATAACAAAAACACATCAACAACAACATTTGGATAGTCCAAACATACCGAATTTAAAGAAACCACCACCAAATACATTGCCATTACTGGATACATCCATTGTTCCAGGGCATACGAATGAAAAAAGTCCAATATCTCATCATATATTGGATGAGAAAAGTTTGAATGAAGATGAATTACCATTACCACCACCACCACCATCACCACCATTATCGATAACGCCGCCGCCAACGCCACCGCCACCACCACCTCTTTTGTCATCATCAAAATATACAACTAATCAATCAAAACATCAAGAATCTGATAATGTTGGTGGTGCTGTTAGCCGTACAAATAGCAGCGGTAGTATACCAGATTATCTAAGTCATAAGTTACATTCCCAGATGAATATAACAGCAAATTTTTTAAAATCTAAAAGAAAATCGATAGCCGTCTCATCTATGTTGCGACATGGTGATCATTTTAATTCGGAAAAAAATACCAAAAAACAACAACATCAACATACACCATTACGTATGGTAAAAGAATCATGTGATTCATCAACATCAACAACGACAAGTGAATCCTATCATCTGAATGATCTTCCATCATTACCTGCAAAGCTAGCAACATTAAGTAAACCACCGATAACACCATTCTTCAATTCATCGTTTCGCCGTGCACGGCATAGTATCGATGTACGTGCATTGCCTTCATATTTGGCCAAAAAACGTCAAAGTACATTTGGACAACTACTTTCAGGTTGGTTGAATTTTTTTTTTGTCTTATTTTTTTTCTCCATTCCATCATCATTATTATCAACAAAATTAACATCATCATGAAATATTCTGGTTTATGGAGAATGAAAATCAGCCATATTGCCATAATAGTTTTTCATTATTATAGCTGTTTACATTGGAATGTTTGTTGTTTTCATATTTTGGATTTTTTTTTTTTTTTTTTGATAAAAAGTTTTTCTCTCATACCAGAAAAAACGGGCCTCCAAAGAATGTATGAAATTCACATATGGAACACATTATTTGTCTTTTTTTTGATATAATAACTTTGGCCTTGAATACCAAAAATCATCATACGTTTATTAATTTTTTTAAAAAATATTGATTAAAGTCTATTAACAAAAGGTTTTCAATCAATTTTTTTCACATTGATAGTCTATCTAGATGTTGGTGTAAATGTTTATCTTTTTTTTAAAAAAAATTTTATTAAGATTAAACATTCCATCGATCTCGATCTTGTTCATTTTTTTCAGACCAAATTTGCTTTTGTCGTTGTGCCATAATTTTAATGAGATACAATCAATAATAATCATAATAATCGATGGAAAAATTGGATAATGATTGAATTGAATCCATAGAATATATTGTGAAATATGATGATGATTAAATGAATGAATGCGAATGAATGGCAAATTATTTTTGGTGTTTCCAAAAAAAAAAAAAAAATTATAAATTAAAATTTATTCCCGCTATTATCATGCTGATGATTTTATAGATTGATCATATAGTTTCTAGAATTTCGGTCCGGGTCATCATCATCTTCATTCTCAACAGAATGAATTTTCATGCCAATAATTATTATAATAATAAATATAAAATTGAATTCTTTAATGTTTGGTGCTCAGATGGTTAAATTCCTTATCATCATTACTAGATTGAATTTCATACGAAACCAAGTTTTTTCTCTATATTTATTTTCTTTTTCTAAAAGCTAAAATTTCCATTTCCACTTGAGCTAGAATTTTTGCGTGTGGGTGATGTTTGCTTTATTTTTTTTTCTTTTGTTGGCTATAAGGACATAAAACATACCAATTATCGACAAAAAAAATACCAGTTAAGAACCAGGCACACACACACACACACAGTTCAACTTCACTAACTTGAAAAGCAAAACTGAACTCATTATGTGATTTCAAAATCGAGAGAGATATCTGACCACATCCAGATGAATATTTTTTTTTTCTGTTTTTATCATGATTCTTAGATCCAGAATTTTGGACACATGGAATAAATTTAATAGTAAACAAGTCGATTTTTTGTTGTTGTTGTTGTTGTTGTTGTCATACATTTATATTTATTCAAGATGTTCATTCATTCTTTTGGAAAATTCGATAATAAACAATCACACATATCCACAAGAAAGAAATAGAATCTATGAACTAATTCTTATGTACCTTTAAGAATACTTGATTCCATATTTATTATATAAATGTTCACATACATCGGTGAACATACATGAACATGTCTGGCATAATTTTTATGATCTTTTATCATTGCCATTGTTGTTTTTTTTGTTGTTGTTGTTGTTGTTGTTATGATTGTCATTGTAATTACAATTATTTGATATAGTTTTATCAAAAATGATGATAATACAGGACTACTACTAGTCTTTCATTTGAATCATTTGAATCATTTCTCTTTAAATCCATTTAGAATAACATTCATTGCTATACTTTTTTAAAAAACATTGTCTTTTTTTATATTATTACGAAGAATAGAATCACGAAGCGAAAAAAAAATTCAACTAAATAGCTATCTCTGCATGTATGAATGTTCCGTAAATATAGAAGACAAATCGGCCGTGTGATTTTTTTTTTTTTTTTTTTTTTTGATGGTATATGTATGGACATTAGTCTTTTGGAATGTTTGTCTTTGAGTGTGTTTGTTGTTGTTGTTGTTGTGTGTGTGATGTGAAACTTACCAGTGCCCTGGAATTACTACTGATCAGTATTCTAGACACATAAGACACATGGACATTGGTTTGTAGATTGTTGTGCATGTGTATGTAATATCTTTCATATATCATCATTACTTGATTGCCCTTTCTCATTCTTGGTTATTCTTTAGTACGTGTGTGTGTGTGTGTGTGTGTATGCATTTGTATGCGTATATGTATGTATGGTGTTTTCTTATATCAAAATTATCAAATTGGTTGGCCATAGTTGTTGTTTTCTTCTTATTCATCATCATCATCATCATCATCATCATCGTCGAAAATAATCGCATCAAATGAAAATATTCTTAGAATTCATATCTTAAAAGAATGAAAAAAAAATTCCTTGTATTCTTTCTTTTTCTGATGATGATGATGATGATGATGACAATCATTTATTGTACGATTGTGGTGTGCCCGTCAACAAACACACATACTCGTCTAGCCAGTCATATTCTCATTTGGAATTAGTTTTCTATCTGGTTTTTTTTGAAATTCTCTTTCTGTTCATTTATTTTATTCTCTTTTATTCAATTCTTTGAGTTGTTTTTCAGGATGTGATTTGATTCAGATACCACTCACACACACACACAATGAGCTGCAATCAATGGCTAAAAATTAGGGCAATTTCATGTTCTTTACTTTGGCTTAGCACAAAATTGGGCAAAAAAAATGATCTATTAATATGTATGTGCGTTTGTGTGTGTGTGTGTGTGTTGTAGATTTGATCAAATTTCTAGCCACTTATATAATAAAACGGATTGTAAAATGTCATGAAATGTCATTTTTTTAACACTTTTCAATTTTCGTATCTTTTTCAAAATGAAAAAAAAACCAGAAATGAAATGAATTTTTTTTCTTGTCATCGATTTTTTTTAATTTCTTATAAAATACAAGATCTTTGATCTTTTTTTTTGCTAGATAAAAAAAGAGAAAAAAGTTTCACTTTCTTTTCATTATTGAAATTCCTTCAATTGATTGTCAATTCTTGATGTGTGCTTGTGCGGGTGGCAATGACTGAAACGCTTAACTGAACGTTGAATATTGTAATTCAATGATTTCTAGATATTTTTTTATTTTTATTTTGGAGCGTTTCATTCATTCAAACCATCATCCATTCAGTCATTTATTCATTCATTTGATGTCATGTTATCTAACATCGTAACTATCGGAGAGACATTATTTGATGAACATAAAAAAAATCTAATCATTTATTGCCGTTCAGGTCAATTGATTATGAATCAATTTATTTCGATTTTTTCCCGGTTCGGTTTTTTTTTGATTTTGCTATTTTTTTGTTCTTCACACAAAATCATACAAATTTCCTGTTATTCTTTCATAAGAAATATAAAGTCCCATTTGGGACATTCGATTTTTGACTATAGTTTCAATGTGTGTTGGGTTTTTTTTGTGTATGACAAAAAAAGGTCTACTCACACAAACACACAAAATTTTCAAGCAAGTTTTGAATTTTGTGGCATAGCAAAATGGTGTTTGATTCTTTGTGCATCCATTGGCAGAATTATCCAAAATCAAATGATCGATTGCTACTTAATACTCTTGTTTGCTTTTTTTTCTTTTTATTTCCCGTCGTTTTTTGTGATTTCACATAAAGAATTCGAATTAGAAATGTGATGGTTATCTGTGTGTGTGTGAGTGTGTGTTCTTGTATTCTATTTGATTCAATAACAAGAAAGATAGATTTCTCTATAGATTTCCAGTCAAAAAACTATCACAGAATTAATTTGGAATATGTTCAAATGTCTAAATGTGATACTAATACTTTTTCTACTTATTTCTTTCTATATTTCCATTCATTTTCGAATTGATCAATCTTTTACGATATAAATATCCTGGATATAAAATCATTCTGTATGAATCGTCTTTGAGATTTTTTTTTGTTTTGTCTTTGTTTTCATTCATTCCAAACGTTTTTGTCGCATTCAAAGTTATGTTTGTTTGTGTGTGTGTGTGTGTGTGTGTGTGTGCATAAATTATTATGTATCATCAACTAATTAAGCTAATATAACAATAGATTTTCCTGATTTGAAAGAAACTGTCATGATAGCCATGATATTTGGAATTTTGTTTTTTTTTATTCATAAAAGCCAAAATAGGAATTTTTGTTTCTCTTGTTTAAATATCATATTCAAGCATTGGAAGAAAAAACTTTATTATCATCCAAGTGTTTCATTTTGTTGTTTTTTTTTTTTTTTCTATCATTTGACTTGCCTACTTGTATCTATTGCTATCCATCTCTTTTTTTTCTTTCCCCATTAACCATTTATTTGTTTTTTTTTTTTTTGAATGGCATTTTATACAAACACATACATATTATAGTATAATTAAAGCCAATAATATATTTCGAAACGAAACCATTTAAGCTTTATTAGACAAAAAAAAAAGTTATACAGATTTTCTGGTCCTTGTACATACATTGACTATGATGATGTTTCATATACTTTTGCTTTTATTTTTTATTTTATTTTTTTTGCTTGTTTTGTTTTCACTTGGCTGTGTGTGTGTGTGTGTGTGTGTGTTGCTATTTATTTTTTCCTCTATACCAACATCATCCATACAATCTATGGTTATTCTGTTCTGTTCTGAATTTCCCGAGTGACATATTAAATTATCGTATTTACTGTAATGTCTCTAACTTTATACTATTTTTTTTTATCTTTCTGTCTCTTTCTCTTTTACATTTTTTTTTTTTGCAATCGGTATGAACATTTTAATGCCTAATAGTTTTAAGTCCAACAGCACCGGATGAAAGCTCATCGTCTGATGATCCTCTGTTTGCTGAGCCGATTGCACCAACTCTTTCATTGGGCGAAAGAGTTGCGTGGGTTAAATCATCAGGTCCAGAATTCGGTATTGTCAGATGGATTGGACGTATGCCACAGATATCAAATGATTGGACCGTTGGCATCGAATTCGTAAGTTGTATATATATATTGAATTGAAATGAAAAATTGCAAATTTTTTTTAATTCATCAAACAAGGATAATGCGATCGGATCCGGTGATGGAACTGTCGATGGAAGACGATATTTTGTTGCCAAAGAAAATTTTGCCAAATTTTTACCCATATCCGAATTGACAAAAGTCGATAATTATGCTGGCAGACCTAGATCAGGTAAGAAATCAATTCTTTTCACATCACATTAAAAAAAAAAAAAAAAAACAGAAAAACAATGATGTTATTTCAAGCGTAACTGATTGATAGTTTTGATAATAACAACTTTATCTGTCAGAATTTTTTCTTCAAAACTTTTGACTTAGATGTTCTAGTCTTTATATTTTCATTGTTGTTGTTGTTGTTGTTTTGGTAGAATTCATTTACATAAATAGGTCTTACATAGCATACAGATGCACACAATATTTGCCGTATCTTATTGTGAAAGCACATTTTTATTCCCGCAATATTTAAGCCGATAATTTACATTTTCAATTTGACTTAATCTCCATCATCGTTACCTCTTTCACAATTCTGTTCTATTAAATTTGAAACATTATTGCAAAAAAAAAAATAAAGAAAATTTCGAAAGGAGTAAGCATTCGATTTTTTTTCCACTCCACACTTTATGCTCAAATGATTTTTGTAACGGGTAACAAATACAAAATGGTCGAAAATATTTAAAAAAAAAACAAAGTTTGCCAATACTTTTGTGTGTTGAATCATTATGAAAATCGAAAAATATTGGAAATTTTTTTCTCTCCACATTGAAATCGACGAATATTAACAATATGTGTATTAGCATAAAAACAATAATATAACCTTTAAATTGAAAATGAAACTAGAATCGAAAGTTTGATAGAAAATTTTATAATTTTTAAAATTTATTATGCATAAAAAATTTGAAAATTTCCACAAAATTCAGTATCAGTTACTAATGATAGGAATCAAATTTTTTTGTTTTGTTTTCGGAATCCATCCACTCCCCCCCCTCATTTCACTTTCACATCATTTTTTGTTGTTTTTGTGAATAATTTATTTTAGTATTTATTCATATAGTTATGCATTTCCAACACAAATGTTTAATATCACTAACTATCTAACACATACTATCATATATCTAATTTGTTCATTAAAAATAGGTACAATGTTATCACGAATGTCAGTTCAATTGAAACCTGGCCAGTTAATTAGCATACAACGTTCACCAACAACAACGGTTCCACATTGCTACCTCAATGCTCCTCATCACGTATGTATCGTTTCGTTTTTTTTCATTTATTTATTTTTTTTCTGGTATTTTTTTTATACTTTATATCAACATCATCATCTTATTCTTATTCTTTTTTTTTGATTCGACGTGGTCCAATTAAATATTTGTCATATCTATATGTCTGTGTGTGTGTGGGGAATGGGGTGGGTGTGTGTGTATGTGTGTATCATCATGTCTAACATTTATTTTTCTCATTCATTGCCGAAAATGATGAGGATTTTTTTTTTTGATTTTCATTGATATATGTCTTTTTTCTGGTTTTTTTTCTCTCTCTTTTCCATTTTGTATGCATTAATTTTCCACAGAAAATTAATACACAAATTTCTATTTTCCTTGGCATACCATTTCGTTTCTAATTTTATTATTATTGCTAGAATTTATTAATTGTAATCAATAGATCATCTTTGAATGATAAATTCCTATGGGTGAATGTGGTGTAGGAGTGTTTGTGTCTGGATGTTTATAAGCAAAGCAGTAGAAAAAAAATTAAAGTAGTAAAAAAAACTGAATCGAAAATATTTTGATAGAAAGATGGATGGTCCAATAGATAGATAGATAGATGGATAGATAGATAGATAGATTGATAGACGAGACCGATTTCGTTGAGATATAATGGAAAAACGATATATGAAATATTCGTGTATGCGTACAACGGGCCAAAAAAAACATCCTGGATGAATGAGAATGAGAATGAAGAATGTAGAATTTTTTCTTTTTCACTTTTTTTTCTCATTTACTTGATGCGCATTCGCTAAACAAGATGCCTATAAGTTTGGCGGTAACCAACCAAACACTGTTCAGTTATTATCTATCAATGTTTCCAATATGAACATTATTTACGATATAATATTCATTATATCAAGAGTTAATAATCATTTTCATTTTAAAAAGTGTTATGTTATTCTTTCTATTCAACTTTATCATTGTATTGTTGTGGGTGTTACAAATTTCCATTGCTTAATTAATTAATCCTTTCAGATTCATCTTGTTTGTGTTTATCTATTCATTTCTTTCTCTTTCTCTTCCGCTCTGTGTATGTGTGTTGGTGAATGTGTTTGTATTATCAACGTTTGATTCTTTTATGATCCCTTCTATAATCAATAACAACAACAACAACAACAACAAAAATGGTAATATTGACTATCAAAATTAAGACATTGTTATATTTTAGTTGTTTTTTTTGTTTTTGGAGAATTTCTTGCTCATTTGGAGATGGAATTAAATATATATAGTAGAGACAATAATGTGTGTATGTGTTTCCTGTTTAATAATCATCATAAAAACTAAAATGAATGAATTTGGTTTTTTTTTCTTCGGAGAATAAGAATCGAAATAAAGTAAACACACATACATACAAACATCATATATTTACATTCCGGAAACTGTATTAAGATTGCAATTTCATTGGAAATTGAACATTTTACAATTGGTCACTATTATTATTATTGTGACAATATGGTCATTGCGATTTTCTATCACTGGATATTCTTGTTGTATAAAATTTTTTTTCTGCCATCTTCATTTTTTTCTTTTTCGGCAAACATTCATCCGTTTGTTCGAGAGAGAGAGAGAGAAAAAAAAAGAATCGCATTTTTTATTTTTATTTTCTATTTATTTTTCTATTTTTTCCTCGTTTGCGTTTGTCGATGTTTATTTTTATCATTATTATGTGATATTTATGTTTGGACTTTATTTATTTATTTTCGTCGGTTGTCGTTTTCCACAAATACAACACACAACAATGAATGACCATTGATCTAAATGTTCTTTTTTTTCTCCATTCGTTCAAATGTAAGGGAAATATTTCAACCAAGTAATAGCGTATTGATAAATTAATAGAATTCATGTAAAATAAAAAATAAAAATTCTTTTTTCCTTAAGAAAAAAGTCACATTATTATTATTGTTGTTGTTGTTTTGTTATATTCTAAATTCTATAACCAATACGATTCTTGTGTATAAAGAATTTTATTATTGTTTTTTTTCTGGTTAGTTTCAAGTGTGGTCATATTGAATCTTACATTACACATTTCATCATCATTATATATATATTAAGCCGTGATAAAAGTGTTCATGGAACATAAAAAAAAATTCTAAAGCTTTTAATCTTGTATTCATTTACATTAACATCGTAAACGAATGGTCCAGAATAATTATCACTTGGAATTGTGTTTGTTTGTTTGTGAGATGATGATCATGATCATGTTATGTTATTTTTTTTATATTATGAAAAGTGTAAAATGAACAAATTCTGAATGAACCCATTAAAAGATGAACTCTATACTATTTTTAATTCTTTCATTTTTTTTTAGTTTTTTTTCATATTTTTTTCATTTTGAAAATTGGAAAATCGCCTTATTACACATATGTTTGAAAGAAAAAGATTTTTCTGTTTTTTTGAAAAGTTTATGGTGTGTGTGTGTGTGAATATCAACGAAAAGAAACTTTTTTTCCTTTCCGTTTTAACGAAAAAAAAACATAATAATTCTGGTTCCAAAAAAAAGGATTAAAAAAACTACAGTCAAAAAACATGTCATTAACAGTTCACAAAAGTGTAATAGCGATTATTTTCTACATTACACATCAACATTACAGCAGTATTCAACAAGATTGAATTTTTTTTTCTTTCTCTTTCTAATTTTTTTTTTTTTGTATGATGGAATATAACAACTGGTAAATTACATTAATGAACACATTGACGCTATTATAATTATAATAATGAGAAAACCCTTTAGATTGATAATTGAAAGTTATTATTAAGTGTTTTAGTTCAATATAAAAATAAATAATAAAAATAATGATAGAGATATTGATAATGAATGAAGTAATTAAAATAGAAATGTCTCATTAATGTATAAAATGAAAAATGTGTGTGTTTGGACCAAGTCACCGTAATGAATGAGATGAAAAATTATTATTCACTTCAATGAACCGGAATCACTACGAATCAAAAAAAAAAGAGAAAAATATCGCAATAACGCCATCTATCGACATCAATGGATGGCGAATAATTTATTTACAAAATTCTTTAAATTTTTCTTTTTTCTTGAACATTTTTTTTAAATTAATATTCTAAATTTTATTTATTACCAATAGGTTGGACACGATGTACATTCACCAAACAATCGACATTGTCAATGTCATAGTTGTAATCATCCATGTGCTCACATTTGCAAAACAAGAAAACCTAAAGGCAAACGATGGACCGAAGATATGGCCCATATGTGCCATTTTTCAAGCAAACCTCATGCAAGTATGTGCTGTGGTGGTGAAGATCTGGCTACAGCATCCGAACCAATCAAGGAACCTGGTGCCAGTTGGAGACATAGTGAAGTAATCAGCTCATTGAGAACGGTACCAACGGAAATCATTCACCAACGTAAATCTACGATCACTCATTCATCCATCACTATGCATCAGATTAAAGAACCGGAAATGTTGATGAAAAAATCATCATCAACAAAGCAACAAAATGCCGATTCTTCACCCAATTTTCAGCGTGAACAGTTAGATTCTGCCCTTCTTGAACGTACCGGGTCGGATCTTTCAATATCAAGTCTTCCGTCGAGCAGTTCAGTAGCTGATATTTATATTGGTCGTTCAGTATTAACTGATGAATCGGATATCGATTCCGAGACGGAAAGAAGTCTTGATTCGAATGCTAAAGCAAATAATAAACAAGGCTTTCGTTCACTTGTGGCTTGCTTTTTAGCAAATTCATTACGGCTAAAATCGATAAAATCACATTCAGAAAAACGTAATAACAACAAAATAAATAAACCAGCAGATCGGAGTCATATGAGGAGGCGTAAATTTCCCGATAAACATCATCATGATTATCACCCACAAGAGGCTCATCCACATCATCATCATCATCATGAAAATAGAAAAGTAAGAAAAAACAGGCCAATACAAAGGCTTGGATTAAGTTCCACTGATACCAGCTATAATATCGACATTCCAAGTAGTGTTCCAAATACTCAACAAAACAACAGTCTTTCATCGGATATCTCTCATCAGCAAATCAATGATGGACATCCTTCCCCATTACCTCCTCCTCCTTCTCTTCCTCTTCAAAACCCCCTTTTGGCTTCACAATCACAATCATTAACAACGGCCTTTTCACCTCGATTTCATCCATGTAATTCAAAAACGAATTTTTATGCTTCAAAAAGTTCGCCTTATCGCATGACTGAAATGATGCAACAACATCATATTGATGGACATATTTCGGAAGAGATAACAAATAGTAGTAGCAGTAGCACACAAAGAAATACTCGTACAGAATCGAGCGATAAACGAACATCTAATTATGCTAGTAGTGAAAATTTTCAATCACCACGTCGAAGGCGTAATAAAGGACCGGCTCCAAAACCGCCCAAAACTGGTAACAATCATCGACAACGAACAGAATGTTCCAGTAGTCCTATGTCAAATAATGATGCCGTATCCACTTCATGTAATTCTTTTCCCCAAAGTCTTTCGAATTCTAGTTTAACGACAAATTGTAGCTCTAAAGCACAAGTTATCGTAACAAAAAGCCCTATTCAACACCCGCCAAATCTGGTTCGATCATTGTCTGAGCATAAACAATTGAATATGAAAAATTTAATTAATGCATTACCATCGTACCGAAGCGAAGTCAATTTACAAGAAGTGATTTCAAATAAATTAGACATTGATGAATCGAAAAAAAATAGACTCAAAGTTTCTGATGAAATTGATGATAAATCGAATATTAGAAAGGACGATATTGAATCTATATATGAGATTCCGTTGTGTGGTAAAGAATTACTTGAGAAAGATATTTTACCCATGCTTCCAGAGAAAACATTTGATCCTTTAAAAGTTTTCGGATGTACAATGAATGCTGAGACTAAACGATTGGAATCTAATCAAATACAAAATTCATCACCAAGTATAAGTAGAAGTAAATCCATGCCATTTGCTAAATACACATGTTGTGTTTTTCATTGGAAAGAATATTTAGCTACATTGACTGAAAATCAGAAAAATGATAAATCTATTCCATGTCCAGAACGGGAATTATGTGACGTGCTATTAGTCGATGATCTATGTGATTGCAAAACAGATACTGAATTGATTAGTAATCTTACTAATGCATTGCTCAGCCCTAAGCACAGTGTTCGTTTTAAGAAAAATGATTTCCAACTACGAAAATCAACAACAGAACATTCAAAAAATGGAAAAGAAACTATTGATAATCTTTTAAATGAGATGAACAATTTTGAATTGATACGCGTTATGTCGGATGGTTCTTTGACCAACACAACCAGTGCGACAACTGTAGTCGAATATATTCACAATGATCAAATAGATGATTCAAAATCTCATCATAGTAACGAACCAGTATCGCATAATTTAAAAGGTAAAATTTGATATGCTTTATCATGACTTGAACATTTATCTTGAATTTTTTTTCCATAGATGTATTTTGTCAAACGAGTTTTAAAAATTCTCCCGAAAAATTTTCACGCCGTTGTAAACATAAACATTGTCGATGTAGGACATTAAGATATCGAAATCATCGGAAAGATTGTCGCCATCAATATGCATGTACTCTGCATAATGAATATTGTTCATCAACAGCCGCGAATCCATTGTATTTTGCTGCAGAGAAAAAATGTTCAAACGTTTGGCTAACTAGTAGCACATCTGATCATTCATTATCATCATTATCTTCTTCAAATTCCACATTATCTGAAACACCATCGGCAATACGTACTACAAATGAAATGATCACTTTGAATAATCCATTGAAAAATCATCTTTCTCCAATGAATATATGGGCACCTCCTCTAATCACAAAATTCAACAGACCATGTACTGATGTCATTGGTAACGGGAAAAAAGATTCGCTTGAAGATTCGATACAATCAGATCGGTCGACAATAAGCACTGAAAAATTATTCAAAAGTGCTCAAAGTCATAGTTTGATGCAAACGTTTCCTGTGAACCATCATTTTTCGTCAGAAACATTGAAAAAATCTACAGATTGTATGTCGACTTTTAATGGTTAGTATTATTCAATTCAATTTTATGATTCTAGCTATAAGAATTGTATTAAATTTTATTAGATGTTCCTAACGAATTTGGCAATAAAAATGACTATTCATGGTCAAGATGTCTCTTATCACAATTGGAAATCGCTATCGCTAATGGCGATCATCAAAGAGCTGCTGTTCTAGCTAAAGAGCTTGCTTTTAAAAAGGTTAATTGCTCTTTAACTGGAAAATTTGCTCCAGGTCAATGTGACATTATATCTGGTTGCGATTCTCCAATAGTGTAAGTTTTAACTATCGATTCGGTAATAAAATGTGTTCATTTTTTAAATTACAAATATATAGAACATATCTTTATATTGAGGATAAAATATCTCACAAAGGACCCATTCCATTTCAGCTATATCCATCAATGACTGTAAAAATGCTAAAAATAAAGGTAATTTGTCTATCGATATCATAAACTATTCATTTCTTTGAATTTAAATCTATCAAAGGTGGAAAAAGAATTTGATGTCCCCGGAGAATTGCAACAATGGATTTTTGGTAAAAACTTGGCCATAAACATGGATGCTTCTTTATCGTCATATGGTATCACTCATTCTGGATGTCCAATATTTCTTCAAATCAAAATGTTGGATGAGAATGAAAAAGAATACACTTTGAATCAATCTTCAACATTGGCTGAAACGTCTGATTGTAAATTAATGGATAATGAAACAACAGAAACTAATGGTGATCTTTTCGAAAAAGATGATGATAGTATTTATGAGTCGTTAAGACCAACCGACGAGCTGCCACCATATTCAACGGAAGAAATATCCGATAACAAAGCTCATGTTCAATTAGTAAATGATGAAAAATCAACAATAAATTACATTCAAAATCCATTAGCATCATTGGATTTCGATGCGCTAAATAGCGTTTCATCTCGAACTAGTTTCAATGAAACTATTCACACCACTTCGAGTGAGCAGAATTTTCCAACAAACTCAGCCAAAAGTTTTTTCTATCAAGAAACTGGTGCACCTCCATATAAAAATGAGCTCGTATTTGAAAGTTTGAATTTTGTCAATGAAATGTTGCCTAGAGTAGAGGAAGAAAATGAAGAAGAACTTGAAGAATATGATGAAGACAATGAACATGACGATCAACAGCATTCCAAAATTACCACTAATCAGAATGGAAAAGACCAGCATCTGATTGAACAATTTGAATGTCTTAAATGTCTGAAACAAATTGATATGCGAGACATCATTATCTTGAAAAAATGCAATCACACCTATTGCCGGTATTTATATCAAACATTATTCTGTCTTTATTATGGTTTCTAATTAACTTCATAATATTTTTTTTATTGATACAGTAATTGCTTGCAAAATTCGATTGAATTAAATGAACAAGATCAAATAAAATGTCCAGCTTGTGATAGTGCATTTGAAAATAAGGAAATTAATGATTACCTTGAAAAACAACATCCATTGGAATGAATAATAATAATAAAAACAATTGCAATAAAAAAAATGAATTGTCATTCATTCAGGTATTTACTTTAATATGGAATAATTATTAATCTAATGATTTTCATATATTTAGAAAAATTTCTGAAAAATGGCCATATTGGATCATCATAGATTTTATGTAGCACAACTGATGTGATATAACTTGAAGAATAATTACATATAATGTTTGATCAACGCTACAACGTGTACGAAAACCAAACAAAACAAAAAAAATCGGTTGAACCAGGTGCCTTTTGTAATGATTCTCAATGAGAATGAAATCACGAAATCCCAACATAACATTGCTGAAATATGAAAACCAAACGTCTTTCTTCAAACTTTTTCTATAGCCAAATATATATATTTTTCCGGTTCATTGTTACTGAAGATGGTTCTAAATCATTATGATCATTGCGTCAATATGTTGCTATCATTTTTACATATTATATTCCACTTATTTAGGCACAAAAATATTCTATATTCATTACAAGTGGAACATATTATATGACATTTAAATCATCCAAAAACAAAGTATTTATTGTAGACAAAAATGAAAGAATAATTGTTTACCATATTGTTTTGATTTTCGATATTCATTATTTATACATTGTTGTCAACTATTATTAGTCAAATCATCATTCATTCACAATATATATCATTATATTATTCTATCATCTATATTGTTTGCATAATCGATTGAAATTGTTTTTTGTTTGTTGAATTTGTTGATTTTATTTCCTATGGAAAAAAAACACGAACACAACTCCCACAAAAAAATATATTCATTCTATTTTTATAAATGGAAAATTATCATCATCAACATTATATAAATCAAAAAATAAAATCACTCATATTTTCCGCCAAGTTTTAATCTTCACATTATTTTTCCACCTACTGTCAAAAGATGGCAGATAAATCTCCAGAATACAGTTATATCGAACAGTTAATTCGATTCAAGTACAGTAATAATATAGTATTACTGTATTACTGTATAAGACTCTTTATCCATCCAAAATTTATTAGTAAAAAGATCAACGAATCTATATTCTGTAATCATTATAGATTGATTGATTGATTTATTCAGAAAAAAATAATGGTCAAGCAGCTTGTTTGTTAAAAACATACAAACACACTTGTGCCTAATGAATCAGACTATTCGGTCATATAACAAAATATACATTCATACAAATTAGTTTCGATCGCGAGATGAATTTCAAATAGCAATTTGATATTTTTTTTCAAATTCTGAATAACAATAAGGGATATAGAATATCAATAGAATTTTATGCCTGGAAGCAAAATGAAATTTGTTTTAACGAAATAAAGTGACCACTGGCAGACGAGGCCAACATCTTAGTGCAAATAAATTTGATTAAAACTTCAATATTTATTATTTTTCAATGTATCAGCATTGTAATGAAATTAGATTATTGAACTTCACTTGAACAACGACATTGTCCTCATGTCAACATGAATTGTTTTCAAGCACGTTGCATTCATCAAAAAAAAAAATTTTGCATTTAAATGGTCATTCAAATTGAAATTTTAAAATTTTTCAAATTTTAATCCTCAAGAATATTTTGAAACAATATAATATACGGAATGCTACATATATCCTACGGAAAAAAAAATTCTTGAAAAAAATACATGAATTCTATAAATCTGAACACATCTCTGAATGTCTGAATAATATATTGTAAAAAAATAGGCAAAAAAAAGGCAAATTGGACATTATTAATGAAAATATGAAAGAATGCCTTTTTTTATTTGAGAATCGATCAAACACACACACACACAAAAACACAAATAAATCCGATACAATAGCAATAGATTTTCCATTATTATTTCTCGTTACATTTGTATATATGGAATGAAATAATTTCAGCGTAAAATATTTAATATATTGCTCATTGTAATACTATGCAATACTATTAAGAATATTCCATTTCTCATGGAAAAATATAATTTGTTTTGAACATCAGAATATTGATTTATTAGTTTATAAAAAGCCTATCGAAGCTTATTGATCAGAATGAATGAATGAATGAATGAACCAGAATGAATTGGTTATGATTATTATATTGGCCATATCGGTTTTGTTCAACAAGAAAGATTATTTTTATTATATTATTATTATTTGGTTGGTCAGAATCGGAAAATAAAACAAAAATTGGTCGATCGGTTGGTAGTTGGATAGATGGATGGATGGATGGATAAATGAATCGAAAAGTATTGAGAGGATGAATAATTCTTTTCTTCACATACATGAGAACAATGAGATCATTTTCATTTAGTAGTTTTGTGGTCTAATGATGTCCGTTTGCTTGCTGTGGTGAATGGATGCCACATATTTATAGACATAATTAGAATAAAGTTGTCCAAAAACGAAAGGATAGAATAGTCAAAAAAGAAAAACTTTTCTTTAGGGTTGAAAGGAAAATCCCTACAATAATTTACTATCATTTAGATGGAAAAATAGAAGCTTATATACGTAGTGTATTTGTGTATGTATGTGTGTGTTCTATGATTCAAATAAACAAAAACGTCCACTGATACATGTTGGAGACAAAGATGATCTTTTGTCTTTTTTTTTGAAACTGAAATTCAATTTGTGGTATCTCTATACTAATATCGTCAATACTAACAACAACAACAACTTGTGTGGTTCATCTATCTAATTATTATAATTTCACTTTTAGACTGACTTTACTTTAGGCCCTCTCATCACATTGTCGTTATTTATACAATTCATTTATGTATACCATAAAAACAATTGGACAATAGTGATCGATGTGAATTTTCTAGCTATACAGCAGAAACAATGCAATACTAAATTCTAGTCAAAAACAACAATAATTCTAACAAACAAAAAAAAAGTTGTATTCTTAGGCTAAGTATTATAATGCCAAGAATCGAATAAATTGTTTGTCTAGCTGCCAATAATTGTATTCATACGATAGAATATTTCTGAATATAAAAACAAAATGATGATTATATTCCAATGATTATGAGGGCAAGTTATCTATGAAATTTATCCAAAAGTCAAAATTTAAATAACTTTTACTTGTGAATGATTATGTAACCACATTATATATTCATACAACAATAATGAATAAATGTAATGTGCATAAATTCTAAATTCTGACTTTGATGTGACAAATTGGTGGGATAATTTAAAAGTGTCTAACTTGATGAGCGAACATTATATATTGTGATGATGAAAGCAACGACGACAAAGACGACGACAATCAATGCAGACGATAATGATTCAACTAAGATGAACTAAATTGAATCATTAGGAAGTTTGGTAGGAAGAAACATTGTATGTTAATTAAAATACATTTCATTCTACTCAGCGACGACGACAATGACGATGATGATGATCATGATGATGACATGAAATGACGATGATGAAAACGAAACGAATCTAGATATGAACATAGAATTACAATTTGATATGGTTCACATTTGTGTTTTATCATCCCATCATATCTTGATCAAAATTATTCTCGACAAATTTAACCTGAATCAGGAAGGTGGATTGAAAATATTCTATCCATAAAGGAATGAAATCTATTCAAGTGAAAGATTTTTTTTTCAAACAAAACAAAAATTTAAATCAAAAACGAATTTAGTCAATTTCATCATCATATGTAGCTGTCAATTTCATTCGGTCGCATCAATGATTACGGAATTCATCCCGGAATAATGGTTTTATGACAGTTTTTTTTTGTTATTTTCGTTCTCCCAGAACTTTATCCAAATGTGTGTGTGTGTGTGTGTTTAGATATATCATTCATTACCATAAATATAATCTTTTGTTTTGGCTTGCGTCTAATTTCTCATGAAAAGACTTCAATTTGAATGAATAGTTTTAGCGATGATAGTGAATAACACTGAAATATAACCATGGAAAAAAAAATTGTAAGTGAGATTCTTTTCCTTCTTGCCCTCCATTTTTTCCCTCCTCTCGTCAATGATCCCAAAAAGTGTATCATTTTAGCATATGCGATTGGCTATGTACATAGTGTGCAATGCACAGAGACAAATACCAGTGTCTACTGTGTGGCGGCCTGTCTAAACACATTGAATGACTGACTGACTAACTGAAAGAATGAATGACTAGTTTTTACTGAATGGAAATGGAATTAAAATTAGATTGTATTCAATGACTATGTCGATGATGATGATGATGATGACGATGATAGTAGTGTTGGTGGTGGTGACTACGTTGTTCAATTAAACTTACGAAAACTACTTGGAGAAAAATACTTGGAATCAAAAGAAAAAAAAATCAGAGAAAATCCTATTGCATTTAGCGACTTCCGATCTTTCTAAATGGATTTCGACAGCATATGTAAGTAATCGTATGAATGAATGAATGAATCAATGAATATTATACATCGAAATGAAGGGGGGGACAAAATGTTCTGACAAGAAATCGTATTATTATTGAAATCTTTTCATTCATAAACCCATAGATTTGTTCATAATTCTATTATGATGGTCAATGTTTTTTTTGTTGTTGTCATCAATGGGTTTTATATTTCAAATGAAAAAAAATCAAATGATGAATGACATATTGGAAAAACGATATGTGATTGTTTATATTTTTTTTTGTTTTCTGACGAGTTAATTAACAAAATCGAATAAAATCAGAGTATCATTTTCTTTCATAATTGTCATTGTTTTTTTTCCGAAACAAAAAAAAAATATGACAACAACAATGAATAAATGAATTGTAGACATTTGATAGACAACAAAAGTAATTCGATCCATCTTTGTGGTGATGGTGGTGGCCAAAAAAAAAAATTTTTTTCATTCGAAAAAAAATCCTCAACGACAAATCCATTTTGTTTAGATATATCATTCATTACCATAAATATAATCTTTTGTTTTGGCTTGCGTCTAATTTCTCATGAAAAGACTTCAATTTGAATGAATAGTTTTAGCGATGATAGTGAATAACACTGAAATATAACCATGGAAAAAAAATTGTAAGTGAGATTCTTTTCCTTCTTGCCCTCCATTTTTTCCCTCC